TGTGTGTGTGTGTGTGTGAGAAAGAGAGAGAGAGAGAGAGATTTACAGTAAATGGTCACCTTCAGGAAGCAGCACAAATTGGATTGTGGTCAGCTGAAAAAAGCTACCAGTAAGATTACACAGTGCCACCTCAATGTTTAATCACCTTTGACATGTACAGAAATATTTCAGGATTGCTCTTAAAAAATAAACATGTAAATAAAAGTATTGTGGTTATGCAAAATATGTAACAACAACAACAACAAACAGGTTTTCCAAAGCCAAAAATCTTTCAGCAGTCTACAACACATGCAGTCAGCTGTTTATTTGCTGATGATCTGATAATGTTCGACAAACTTCCTTAGAGGAACTTGCATTCATTCAAAAGTGCTGTGAGTCTAATTGTGGGTGTCAGATTCAGCAGAGGTGTGCAGTCTGGAAACTTAACCAGTATTTAAACAATGTGTCAAGGCTCAATGTTGAAATGAAAAAGGAAGAAGGATGAATAGCTTTCCTTTTAAGACTAAATGCCTCACAGGTCTGATTAAATTCCTTGAATGCATCATTGTATGGTAACACACCAGCCACATCAAAACTGAAATATTATGCAAGGAGTTTCTGGACCTTTAATGTTGGCTCAATAGCTTTGAGTTGGACTGTAAAATTACACCACACATCACATTAGTAATGTACATGCGTACAATCAGCATGCTCTGTACATTGTTAGAAACAGTATTAAACTAATAAACAAATTAATAAACTCTAGCCCTGTCTATAAGCATTTATAAGATAAAAAGATTACACAAAAAGTATTATACCATGTAGGATGATACAGTCAGCTGTGATAGCTCCTCATGTTTATAATTCATTATAAAAATCTCTGCCTAAAATTATAATTCATCATTTTGAGTTAGATAAGTCAAGTATGTGTCTTCCAGTGTTTCCACAGTGAAATTCTTTCATCTCAGCAGTGTTTCCCTGCAGATGGATAGTAACACAAAGCACAATTTTGGCACTAAAAAGACTATAACTTACTAAATAAATTATAAAGATACACACTGACATAGACTCCTGAAGGCTTGTATTAGCTTCTGCTGAACTTTGGAGTGTATTTTTCTGAGGAAAGACTACATCAGATCCCTATCACTCACAATGAAACTGCACCAAGAAAACATCAGTGCAGAGTCTCAGCCATCCAGGTCATAGTAAGCTGAAAAAACTTAGAAAAAAATCAAATGGATTAGATTTTTAGGTTGAAGATGTCTCACCTCTCATCCAAGAGGCTTCATCAGTTCTGCCCGACTGGCATTTAGTCAGAGATATTTATCCCCATCGGTGGTGTTTCAGTCCTTTGATGCCCAACAATGTCCAACGCATTGGCCAGAGCCAAACTCCCACCCTCGAACCTTACCCCTGAGGAAAGGAGGGCTTTGGCTGCACTAGAGAAGGATGAAACCATTACAATCCTTCCAGCAGACAAAGGCAGATGTACAGTAGTCCTAAACTCAGCTGACTATCAGACCAGAGACCTCCTCAGTGACACCACCACCTATGAAGCACTGAAGAGGGACCCCACCAGTGGCTACAAGAAGAAGGTTATAGACTGTTTACAGAAGCTGGAAAAGGAGGGAGTTATTGACAGGCGACTATACTACAGCCTATACCCCAGGGAGGCCATCCCTTACATTTATGACCTACCCAAAATACACAAGGAAGGAGCCCCACTCAGACCCATTGTCAGCAGCATCAACTCCGTGACTTACAACTTAGCCAAGCACGTGGCCACCATCCTGGCTCCTTTGGTGGGAAACACACAGCACCACATAATAAACTCCCAGGACTTTGCAAGGAAAGTCCAACAACTGCAGCTGGAGCAGGACAAGACCATGGGCTCATATGATGTCACATCCTTGTTCACTTGCATCCCCACCACAGAGGCTGTCAGGGCGGTGAAGAAGAGACTGCTGAAGGATGACACGCTAAACAACAGGACTAACCTCACCCCAGACCATGTATGCACTCTGCTGGAACTCTGTTTAAACACTACCTACTTCCAGTTTAGGGGGCACTTCTATAGGCAACAACACGGCTGTGCTATGGGCTCCCC